AATTACATTTGACTGAAATGCTTGTATTGAAACATTTTGCATTCTACCTATGATAAAACTTTCATGGACTTCTACATTAACTGTTCCCTCCTGGTGCAATGACCTGCCCAGCTCAATCCAAGCAGCTGAGTCCTTAATATTGTCAAGAAACAGCTGAAAACACATCTCTTTCATCTTCATTTGACCCTCTAACTCTACCACTCTCTATTCTAATGCTACTTCTAATTTTATCTCCTTGGTTTTTTTTTATTAAAAAGCTTGACCCTCTAACATTTGCACTCTCTATACTATTTCTGTTCTAACTACTTGTTTTATTTATAAAGAAAGAAGAGCCTCTAACACTAGCATTCTCTATTCCTTCTCTATTCTTTCTACTTATTTTATTTTTATTTATTATAAATAATGACCTTCTAACACTTCCATTATCTATTCTTTTTCTGTTCTATTGACGTTTTAGTTTTATTTAAAAATGACCCTCTAACACTTGCACTCTATTCTTTTTCTATTCTTTTATAAAAACAAAATAAGCAAACAAACAAAAAAAAAAACTATACTGTTAGGCGAAGCCCCGCCCACGAACCCTGCCACCTACGGTCCTCGTTTTGAAAAATATGGTCACCTATGTATAATATTTAATTGGAATAAATACAATAAAATGTGTTTGATTTTATAGGATGGAGTTATTTTAGGTGCAGACACCAGAGCCACAGATGATATGGTCGTAGCTGATAAAAACTGCATGAAAATCCACTACATAGCTCCCAAAATCTAGTAAGTCAATTCCTTGGTTGCTCATCATTAGAGTTTAAGTCTCTATCTAAACCTTTCTTTGCGGTGTCTGTTTTTTTTCCTCTTTCCACAAAAGTTGTTGCGGTGCAGGTGTTGCGGCTGATGCTGAGGTCACAACTCAGATGATGTCATCAAATGTGGAACTGCATTCACTCAGCACAGGACGACCTCCTCTTGTCGCCATGGTGACCCGACAGCTCAAACAGATGCTGTTTAGGTGAAGGAGTGTTTGCCAAATAGTTAAATTAATTTGATTATGCTGATCATGCCAAAATGATTGATACATAATTACATCATTCTTTATTTAAATTATTGCTCTTTAGTTAACCGAATATATTTGTTTATCTTGAAGGACTATTTCAAAATAGTCCTAGGACTAAGACTGGTTGTGTCCCATTTTTGTAGGTATCAGGGGCACATTGGTTCTTCTCTAATTGTTGGAGGTGTGGATATTAATGGCCCACAGCTCTATAGCATCTACCCTCATGGTTCCTATGATAAGCTTCCTTTCCTTACAATGGGTACAGTTACTTTTTCCTTACCTCCTTTCTTTGAACAAACACAATCTGAGCAAAATGCTGATCTTTACCGTTTAAAAACATTGTTTTCGCCACCTGCCCTTATTTAGCAAAAACATATATTTCAGGGTCTGGAGCAGCTTCTGCCATTTCTGTATTTGAGGATCGTTACAAGCTAAATATGGAGGTCAGACAACTATTTATAAACATGCTTAATGATATTGTCAAACATGGTATTGCATATTTGTTGTAATTGTAGTTGTAATCAAGGGGGTGTGAGGACTGATTTAACATAAAATATTTTTATTTAAAAACACAAAAACATTCTATGTACTGTAAAATTGATTTCTGTGTAGTTGTTCTTCCATGGGACATAGGAGAAGAAATTGTGAATAATGTACTCTATATTCTCTCAAATTAATTTCTAAACGTGTTTTAATTATTGTTCCATGGAACACAGGACAAGACATTTTGAATAATGTTCATACTGCTGTTTTCCATACAATGATTACATAATTGACCTGGAGCTCAAAAATTACAAAAAATCACCATAAAGTATCCTAAAAGTAATCCATATGAATTGTGTGCAGTATTGTAAGTGTTCTGAAGGCAGCTTAGTGTGAGGAACAGACTATAAGTTATTCGCTAAAAGCTTCCCCTCTGCCTTACTGTAGCTTTAAAAATTCATTTGCACGATATATCTAAAGCACAGCATGACCAGTTACATGGCACATGAGAACCAGTTGCATTCAGTAACCCACTGAATGATGTGTCTGTTCACGAATTATGAAAACGCAAATGTGACAGAATGTAATGTAACAGCAAATAATATTCTCACATTTTATAATACTGCAATCTTTCTGATACTGTAATCACTTTCTATTTTAGTGGCCTGGTATTTTCCTATTCCTTTTTTAAATAGTGATTTTAAAACAAAATCAAAAGTCAAACCAGCTAACTCAGAAATCTTGAACTTGAAACTTGAATTTGAAGTATATAAAAATCTGGAAAAACGACAAAAGTAAAAGAACAATTTTTATATGGAAATGAACAATTCACTAAATAACTGTGAATAATGGAAAAGTACAATATAAAACTATTGATTTACATTATATGTGTGATAAACATTTTAAAATACATTTTTCCCACCAAAACATTCATGTGAATGTCCAACGTCCTGAATGTGCTCTTTTTTTTAATCCTACTTCCCAAATTCATGTTCTGTATTTGTTCTTTTCAATCCCACATCTACTTAAACTCTTTGGAATGAAAAGCTGGAGGAAGCAAAGCAGCTGGTGAGGGATGCCATCACTGCAGGCATCTTCTGTGATCTGGGTTCTGGCAGTAATGTAGACCTGTGTGTGATCACAGAGAAAACTGTGGATTATCTGAGAGCATATGACCAGCCCGTTCAGAAAGGATTGAGGTGAGATATATAGACCAGTGTAATGTGGAAGATCACTGTTACATTATCTATGTCTTCACTCTAAAAATGCTGGGTTGTTTCAACCCAACTTTGGGTCAAAT